TCCACTCCTATTGGTAGCTATCAAGGTGATCGTTTTAATTACTTTGCTTTGTATTGATTTCTGGCTTATCATGTGGAAAATTCAATGTGATTGGTTATTTGATTTTTCCCAAAAACGAAATTGATCAATTGACCACTAAAACATAGTCAAATTCTACTTAAGTTTTGTGACAAAAGAAATATCAGTGAGCACTAAGTAGTTAAGAACTATTTGTTTTTTTTATTTGCTAAAAGTTTTGAAGTTGTTTTAGTCTTCTTGCTAGGCTATTCCCACATTTCAATTTATTATGTAGAAACTGAACATAAATATCTGTTCTTTACTTGTATCATAACTTAAAGTTTAGAATAAACATAATAAGACTATGTTGTTATTGTATATCTGGATGTTGTAATTGTTTGTTTTAAAATTTTTGCATAAACCTTAACTTCAACACAATGAGTGTCGAAATTAGCTGTAGGTTAGCCTTTATCTGGAAAAATTGAATACCTTGTGAAGCACTGCCTTAAGCTAGTTAGATGTGAACTTAAGTCTTTGCATATTCCTCAGAAATTTCATCTTCTATTGTCATTTGTTCCTTATCCTTGAAATTCAGTGAACCATTGTTACTCCTTTCTCATCAACATCGAATTCAAGAACCTTACTTTCATCAGACAAATATTGGGGTGTGGCTTCTTCTGGGATCTTTTCTGTTAACTGAATGTTGTGAATAATAGTGATTAACTTCTCAACTATCAACAACTTCAGTCATTGTTTTTGTTTCAACTACAATCACTTGACAATCACTATATTAAATTCCTTGTTACTCAGGTAATTTCCTTGGTAATGTGGATTCACTAGTTACATTACATTGTGACTTGAGGTGATAATTTGTATCAAATCAAGAAAAAAAAGAGTATTATTTCTCAAGTATTGTACATTTATTAATAATAGAAAAGAGTTTTGATTATGTTCTTCTACTCAGTTGATTGGTGAGTGAACTATTCTCTGATTACTCATACATGCATTGTTGTACAAGTCCTCCATTCAAGCCATTGGCCATCTCTTCCCTCTATTATCTTTCTTTTAAGAAGTATTTTTTCTAGTTTGTAGGATACATTACCAAGATATATTTTACTTTAACTGTCTCCTGCACTTTTTTAACAGAGACAGATGATTTTATTTTCATATCACTCCTTTCCATAACTTAGACTGTGCAGAAGGGTGATCAGATGTTTTCTCTAATCACCCTTCCTTCATTTCTTGTCTATATGATTGTTCAAACCCCAATTGTCTCCTTTGTCCTGTTGAGCAATAGGATATTATCTACCTTGCACAGCTCCCTTAAGAGGCAATCAAAATTATCTTTTCTTGCTGTGGGATCCCTCTACTTTTCAAGATTTATATCTTTTCATTTTGAAAAATTATGTGTAATGCATTTTGGAGCTTAAAAGAAATTTATAATAGGGAACAAAATTTGCAGTGCCTGAAAAAAATATTAGGTTATAAATGGAAATGTTATTTAAACATAGAAATCGTGTATACATTGTATCATCAAACTGGACCATTGTGTACAGCTGATTTATAAAGATCAATTTTCCTGGATATGTATTGGCTTCTGCTTTGTATATTAGAAAATCTGACAATATTTAGAATTACCCTAATTGATTCTTACGTAGATGTTCTTTGAAGTGAAGCAAGCGTTTACTTTTATGGTTAATTACTGTAACCTTGGAAGTAAAGCAAGTATTTACTTTCATGGTTAATTACTGTAACCTAAGGGCACCTTCAAGTTTAATGATAAATTATTTTGATTGGAAGCTATTTCTGAGCAGTTATGTATTTGTTTATTGTGTTTCTGTTCATACATGTTACTATGCTAAAATTTTTATGTATGATTTTGTAAAAAATGTTTAATGAGCATATAAGACTAATTACTTATTACACTCAGATACCGAAAGCTCAATACTTAAGTTTTTTATGACATTCCTTAGCTGTCGGGAGAAATCATACGTGACATCAAATCTTCCAGATACTAGTGTAATTATAGTTTTCCACAATGAGGCTTGGTCCACATTACTTCGTACAGTACATAGTGTCATCAATCGGTCTCCACGACAGTTACTTAGGGAAATAATCTTAGTGGATGATGCCAGTGAAAGAGGTACATTTTAAGTTTATTTGTGTTGGCAATTGTGGTGAATAGCTCTCGTAAAAGGGTTAAGTTGTAGCTTTCTATGAAGATAATGAGGTATATGATTCTGGTTAAAGGTAAGTTAAGATTTTCTTTGTCTGTAATTATGATGACTGATTCTGGTGAAAGGTGTAAATTGTAGCTTTTTATAGATGTAATTACATTGATTGAATGTTCTGAAAGTAGTAAGTTGTAGCTTTTTGTAGATGTAGTTATGTTGATTGGATATAGTGAAAGGGTTAAGTTATAGCTTTTTGTTGATTTATTTATGTTGATTGTATTTTTGTTTGTAAAATGTTTATAACAAAATAATATCGAAGTATGAATACATGTCTTTTACTTACTTCTATTGAATTGTTACCTAAACTTATATAAACTTAACTGGCTGTTTTGTACTGTAAATCATTACTTTTTCTTATGAACAGCTTTCCTGAAAAATCCACTTGATGATTATGTATCCAAGTTGCCTGTATATGTTAAAGTAATCAGAGCCACAAACAGAACTGGACTTATCAGGGCAAGACTCATGGGTGCCAAGGTTGCCCGTGGTCAAACACTAACATTTTTGGACTCTCACTGTGAGTGTAACTATTACTGGCTAGAGCCACTTCTGACAAGGATTGCAGAGGACAGGTTAGCAACAGTTTAATTTATTGTATATTATGCTTAAGCAGTACAATAAATGAAAATATAACAAAACACACACACACACCTATCTTTACACTTGATTAACAATGTAAAAGTTTTAAATAATTCATTTAATCTTTTTAAGTATACATACAAGTCAATTTAGTAATGTATTCCATTGTTACAGTAATTTCTAACAATACTATTTTACAATTTGATTATATTTTTATGTGTAGTTAGTACTTAATAAAATATTATTGTTTGATAATTGAGATATATATAAAAGAAAATGACAATACTTTTACTTTATTAATGTGCTGCTTAGGCTAATATATTTCTAAGTATTAAGACTTTCTGCTAAATAAAAGATATTAAATGTTTTGAGTCTTCTTGTTATAACTTTTATTCCATAAAAGTTGTATGTTATTGAACAGAAAGAGAGTCGCATGTCCAGTAATTGACATAATTCACGACGAAAACTTTGCCTACGTACGCAGCTTTGAGTTTCACTGGGGAGCTTTTAACTGGGAACTTCATTTTCGGTGGTATCCATTAGGAGAAAAAGAGATTCACAGGAGGCAAAAAGATGGAACCTTGCCTTTTAGGTTAGTTCCTTCCACATTGTAATATTAAAATATTGGTGTACCTAGTGTTTTAAAGAAAACGTTTGTATGATGTATTCATATTTATGATTTTGTATACATTAATATCTTATTTTTCTGCGTATAGATGTTTTTAATTTACCATTAAGATGAAATGTGTTTAAATTATTTACTTAATTTCCCATTGTTAATGTATTTACTTTACAGAATGAATGAAAATATATCTTGCATTAAAAGTTATTATTTGGAGCAGTTTTTTTCAAACACAATTGGTATTTAAAGTATGTCAAATTTATTATATTATACTTAGACATAGTAATATCTATTGTTTTGTGTTGTGCAAGAATTTACAAACATATATATATCACATGTAGGAAATAAACTAAGTAATCCTTGGATAAGGAAAACATTGAGGTATTTAAACATCAAATATAGAGTAATGTAGTGTGTTTCAGGTAAAATAATTTTTTTGTAAGAATACATTTAAATTACAAAAAACTAAAAAGAAATGTTTAAGCAAAGAACCAAAACATACAAAAACAATAAGAGGATGCACAAAGTTAATTCATTTTTTTCAAAATATGTGGTTTATGCTCTTCATCAGTTTATTTAACTTTATAGACATTGCTCCTTAAGAATCTTATTATAATATTTTATGTGTTTTACGTTATGTATCAGCTTATCTTATTTAACTTTATAGACATTGCTGTGGATTTAGAACTTGAAGTGCTACTTAAGAATCTTATTATAATATTTTGTTTTACGTTCTGTCGTTATGTATTAGCTTATCTTATGTTTGCTGTATGTGAGGTAAAGATGTGGTGCAAATTCTACAAATAATTGTTTTATATATGAAGTATTAGTGAAAAATAATGTTTCAATATTTTACACAATCTTTTGTAGAAAATGCTTTAGGTTATATGTCTTTGATGGGATAAACTCTTCATCCACTTTCTTGCAGACATTGTTTTAATTGTCAAACCAGATCTTTATGAACTTCATTTTAAAATCTACTCTTAAAGTTCAAAACAACATCTTCAGTAAAAACATACATACAAATAGATAAATACAAATATTCCATATAGTTTGTTTACATTTAATTATTCAGTTGTAGACACTTATAACTAGTTTTTTCAAGTTTAAAAACTAATATGATCAAAGTGATAACTTATCTCCATCTAGGACTCCAGTAATGGCAGGAGGGCTGTTTTCCATTGACAGATCATACTTTGAAGAAATTGGGACTTATGATGAGATGATGGATATATGGGGAGGTGAAAATATTGAACTGTCATTCAGAGTGAGTTTTCTGCTTTAAAAAAGTGTATTTACTAGAGCATTTACTTTGTATCAATTTTTCTAGTAGTGGATAGCTAAATACATTACCTGCGAGAGCAGTTTGTCAATGTAATCTGATTATCTAGTGAGTGTAAATTATCCTAATTTTAATCAGCTGATTTGAAAGAGAGGCTTATGTTCTTATTTGTGATAAGATTTGTTAGGTTAACATTTTGAATAGAGAAACATCCACAGAAACTTACAAGTGTGTCTGTTTAATATCCTGAACATTGAAAATTGACCAGTTGTTAGCTACACTCTTTACACTATGCCAATAGAGTTTTTATTTAGCCAAGAAACAACTGATATTAATTTAGAATTAGAAGTATGTTAAGTGGATTAATGATAGGTGAACATAGCCATATAAAGTGTACAGAAATAATATTGCTTGATATCTCAGGTCAGATAAGGCTTATATGATAAATTTATTACATACAGTTTAGGCTCTTGTCAGTCACGATTTACAATTTCTAACCAGCATTGCACATTATTTTTTAGGTATGGCAATGTGGAGGCTCTGTTGAGATTGTTCCTTGTTCACATGTTGGCCACCTGTTTCGAAGATCTTCACCATACTCATTTCCCCGACCAGGTGGAGTTGGAAGTGTCTTGTACACCAACTTAGCTCGTGCAGCAGAGGTCTGGATGGATGATTGGAAGGAGTTTTTCTTCCTTTTAAACCCAGGTATTTAATGATTAACATCAAAATCTTTCAACTTAATAATTAAGCTTATCTTACAAATTTTTTCCTCAGTTTAGTTATTAGATGTAATATATCCTTTGTCTCCCAGTTCTTTTTCTTGGGAGCAGGTGAATGCTTTACATGTTTCTCTTTCTGCAGCACTTACTAACTTGGTTTTGTTTACCATGTGACTTGCTTGTTCTTTTGATGTATTAGCTTGTATAGCTATTTTACAAAGGATTCACCACCAGCATATTTATGATGACTCCTAAGGGTCTCTTTCTTGCTCTCCTTTGTTTTTGCTGGTATGTCTCTCAAATTACTTTCTCAATCAGGAGAAGCTCATCAAAAGGGGCTGATTATAGCTCTGGCTTCACAAGTTACTTCATCATTTTCCTAATTTTCAACATCCACTTAGCAATAGCCATCTTCCTGCATTACCTGCCTCTTCTTTTGCTACTTCTTAGCCTTTTATTTTTGTTTTCTCATCTATTTTCACTCATTTCATGTTGTGAAATACAGAAGCAAATGGGGTGGGCCTTCTCATCCCAGACATTAACTTTCTTCTTTTCTGAGCACCCCCTTCTCTCATACCTTTGGGGAGTGGCATCTGAAATCCTGTGCTCATCTTTGAAATCTTTGGCTTTGGGACCCTTGGATTCATCAAATTCTTCAAGTCATTTTCTCTCCAACTTATCCTCCTCCTCCACTTTTGACTCTTCTAGTTTCATCTTTTGTTTGATGCAGTTGGTATTCAAATATTGGATCAGGAGTTTCAAATCTTTTACTTAAAGAAACTATCAAAACAGTACTTCATATTTCCCAAGGTGTTTACTCTTTTGATTTTTTGTAATGCCAAATAAATCAGGAGATTGAAGATCAGTAATATATCTTTCCCATCTCAATCATTATCTGGATATTCTTCATTTCAAGATAGAAACCATGAGAATCTTACAGAAATTCCTTCATCAAGGTTTTTGCATGACAAAGGTGGATATCAAAGGTAATTATTTTCATATCCTGTTCACCCATATTCTTAACATTTTCTTCACATTTACCAGTGGCAAATGGTTTATCAGTTTATGGCCATCCCTTTTGGTCTGGCTTCAGTGCTTTTTGTTTTCACACTTGTAGTCAAGGCATCTGCTGGCTTTTTATACACTCTTAATACAGATTTTCATCATTATATTTATGACTGTTTGTTTTCTGTGTTGTCACCTCAGTTGTTGACTCACACTCAATCAACTATATGATTTTCTCTCTGGGATTTTGGATAAACACTTCAACTGCTTTCTTTGACTTTATAACTCCTGAAGTCTCAGGTGTGCTTATTTCTCTCTTCTCCTCCATCTACCAAAGACATCCTCGCTGGTTTGGGGATGATGACTTCTCTATATGAGGCAGTTACCGTGGGTCATGCTCACTTGAAACACTTTCAGTGGATTCTTGCATCTCAGGTGCATTTCTCTTCAAACTATTGGATAATTTTCCTTTCTCCTGCTGCTCTCAATTATCTTTTAGTTTGGCTCAGTTAAAAATTTACCACTGTAGGACCCTTATTCTTCCACCTCATACAGACCTGTAGCTTTTCACACATGCCTTTCTCAAGGGCTAGGGTGCTGTGTTTCAGATCTGTCATCTCCTCAGGAATAACTTGCTCACATCAGTCTTTTGAAGCTTCAGATAGTTCAACATGCATGCTAATAGTTTCTACCCTTGTTGTACCACAACTGTTTGGCTTCATGTAGATAATTGTACTAAGGTGACACATATCAACAATCTGTGTGGAATTTTGATTTCACAGCCTGTGTTTTGCTGCTGTCTCTCTACTTAATTGGTTACATTTATATCACATACATCTTCAAGCTTACACATGACATGTGTTATGAACATTCTTACGGATTTTATTTCTAAAGATAATAGGCTTCTTCCAACAGAATTTCAGTGGTTGTCCCATCAGGTAGGTTATTCTATGACTTATGCATCTGCTACTGTAGTCAATCATCTTCCATTTTATTGATACCCAGTTCCAGGTCCTGCTTTTCTAAACGTAGATGCTTTGAGTCAGTTTTGGGAGAACCTTTTCTTTGTGCTTACCTTCCTCTTCATCTTCTTCCTTGGGTATTGGTCAAGATCAGTTTGTTGAATTGTAAAATTCTTATTGCTCATCCATGGTTTCTACTACTATGTTGTCTGTCTCAAGGGGATCCTGTTCTATTAGCTCTTTGGAAACATCTATGCCAACCTCAAATGTCCATCTTCTACTTGAATGTTCATCATCTACAGCTTTATGACTCGCTGTTATGCAGTCTTTTATAAGAAAAGCCAGTTTCTCCTCTCGTGTAACTCAATTGTTGTCATAATTTTGCAGATATTCACTCCTAGCCATATACCAATCTTGAGTCTATCTCTTTAGACGTTTGTGCATTTGAAAATCTGTTTCTTGTCTTCCTCCAACTCCTTTACAGGTATTCTTATTTTGTATTGTGGCTTGTCTTCTATTGCAGGCTACAGAGCTGCCCTTTCTACCATCTTTAGATGTTACAGAAGTCATCTTTCTGTCTCTCATCCCTACTCCTTCAGTTATTTTTTGGGGCTTTTTTTCTAGATGATGTCCTCCATAGGACTTGAGTCTTGCTTGAAGATGTTTTACTTTTCTTCTTTCCCAACCTTTAGCAACTTAACTTGTTTACTCTCATCACTTTCCTTAAGATGTATTTTCTTCTATTGCTTGCTTCAGGTAGGAGACAGTTAGATATTTTTGCTATATACTTTCTTGTGCTATCTTTTTATTAGAAGGGTCTGTACTTATATCCTGATAGGACCTTCCTACCAAAGGCTTGCACTACAATTGAAGTTATTTACTTTTAAAAACCAAATATGTTACCTACCCTGACTGACTCAGATTCTTATTCAGAAGAATGTTTTCTGATGTTTGATGCTAACTCGAATGAAATAATCTTTCAGGGTGAGGATCCATATTGGTTATGCCTTATAAAAAATTTCATTCCATGGCTCTTGCTCCATTCACACTAATTAACTGGATTATGCAGTTGATTTGTCTTGTCAACTGAGATATAATTAAACACATTCAAAGTGAATTTTGGGTTAAATCTCATTAAATTTGCTAGTTGTCAATGTCTTTGGTTTCTTGGTCTTGGTAAACTTTAGAGGACATCTTACAGATTGGCATGTGAATGATTCCAGGTACTTTTCATCAACTTTAACTTCACCATATTGCTCTCTCCACCCATGAGAGAATGTAGTCCTCTGGAAGTGGACAGAGATTGCCATATGGTGGCTCATGATTTTGTGGCAGGTATTTTTTCTGCCTACTCGTGCATGTCTTTGTGTGGCATTAGAGATACTTGAGGTGGGAGGCCTCTTCTCAATAGATGTCTCAGCTCCAACCAGGATAGGGACTATCTGTTTTTTTTTTATTAATGATTGGGTTGTCCTCAACTTGTTGTGCCTCCATTCCTTGGGAAGACTTGGATCTTTATTCAGTTCTTTCTGAGCATCCACTAATTTTCCAGAGACTTATTGGTCTTCTTATTTATAGATAAAGATAGGCTACAACCCCTGGAGTATGTCCATTTATAATATTTGACTAGGCTAACCCAGTATGGCCAGGTGGTTAGGGCACTTGACTAGCAATCTGAGGGTCATGAGTTTGAATCCCTGTCCCACCAAACATGCTTGCCCTCCCAGTCATGGGGGCATTATAATGTGATAGTCAATCCCACTATTTGTTGGTAAAAGAGTAGTCCAAGAGTTGGCAGTGGGTGGTGATGACTAGCTGCCTTCCCTCTAGTCTTTCACTGCTAAATTAGGGACAGCTAGTACAGATAACCATCGTGTAGCTTTATGTGAAGTTCAAAACAAACCAAATTGACTAGGCTGTTCTCACAAGAACTTTTCACTAAAAAACATGGCATAGTATTTCTCCTACTTCTTTATTCCACCACTTGTGTTCCCATTATTGGCTCCACAGAAAAAAGGAAATATTACTGCACTAAATAACTCCTTGTTTTGTATGAGCTGAAGAGCATCAAGAGTGAAGGGGTATCCTGTTGAGATGAATATTTTATTTCTGGGTGTCCTTAGGTCCAGCCATTATATAAAGCTACTCTTCTCCATTCATTATCTCTTGAATCCAGTTCTTCCAATCTCATTTGGAATTCTGCTTTGACTCTGCTTGACTATATCTTTATTGTAGTCTAGGTTATTATCTTTCTGCCTTGTAAGTTATACATTTATAACATTTCTGTCATTTACACTCCTGCCAATACCCTCCCACCTCCTTTCTAGAACTATGTGGGCATTCTAGTTTACTGTATTTCAAAGATAAAACTACCTAGTTTGAAATACTTTATCACCCACCTCCCCACAACTGAATTATATGTGGTTTTCATCAACTTTAAAAAAAACTCTGAATTATGGTGGGAAGCAGAGCTTGTGTAAGATCTCCCAAGGCATGTGCAATGAGTTACATGGAAGGTGGGAGAGGGGAGAAGTATAGATAAATGCAATTCATAAAGGATACTCCACATTTTGAGTCAGATGAAAGCAAATTCAATAAGGAAAGGCCTACAATATTTGAGATAAGTACTTTGAAATTTATTTTAATTCAAAAAATTTTAAATTTAATTACAAATGCTACTTGCCTTGGTCAATTGACTTTAATTTAAAGTGGTTATTCATAATCATTGTTTGAACTTGGTTTAAACATACATATTTGTTGCCGTACAAGTTGAGTTAAATAAGTTTACATCTTAAAACAATGACAACACCTATTTGTTGGGGGAGGAGGGAGCTAAAAGTAAATTTAATTTGAGCTCAGAACTGAATTTCTCATATTTTTAGATCTTAAAGGCCTTTAGAATTTTGGTAAAATAAAATAAAAGGCAACATAAACCAAATTAAGCATAGTTTGTAATCATCAATCATGTATATATAATAGGCATATTTTAATATATTTACACCGTGTACTTTACTGAACAAAATTATTTTCAGAATCGTTTAAATTTTGTTGAAAGTCACCAAAACACCTGAAAGTACAGGCTAAAAACACTGTAATAAATAAGCCTTTTAACATGCTTCTTAATTGACTAACAGAATACATTTATATTATGAATTTGTTCCATTTTATTGTTTTTCACTATAAATATTTTACATTGTATGACTCCTACAGTCTTTAATCTACATTTTATGTAAGAATGTTGCAGGTGGCAGTTAGAGTAAGGGTCATTTGGTAAATGTTTTTCTGAAGAAATAAATATATTTTTTTAATAGTTTGAACTTCAGATATTTTTTATTTTTAGCTTTAAAAACATTTTCATAATTTTTTATTTAGGGGCAAAGAAAATGCGAAAGGGGATAGATGTTATGGAAAGGAAAGCTTTACGAGAGAGACTTGGCTGTAAGAGTTTCAAATGGTATCTTGATACTGTGTGGCCTGAACACTTTCTTCCCACAGATGGCAGATTCTTTGGAAAAGTAAAGTTTCTGTTTAATTAGGTCTAGGAAATATTAAATTCACTAAACATAGAAGATAGGATTGTTTAAATTTCTGATGTTCCAAGAGGAGCAGAAATTTTCAAATAATTGTTAGAAATTGTTGAATACCAAATATCTTGGGGCAATGTGTTAAGCATGACTTGAGTTGGGATATTACCTAAAATGCTACAAAATAACAGCTTTTATGTACCTTATCTATTTTCACTATAGTTAGTGGAGTTGCTATAGTATCTTAAAGAAATTCCCTATAATGTTATATTTATTTTATCTAATTTAAATGATTAGAACTACTCATTGTAAATTATAACAGAATGCAAGATGAGATTTCTTCTTCTTTTGTTAAATTAAAATAGATACGCAACAAAAAGAATGGCAAGTGTTTTCAGCGACCCAACACTAAAGGTACAGCTCGACAACCTGTGGGCAAGGTTCAGCTGGGAGATTGTGTGTTTGAAACATATCCTCAACAGGTAAGGAATAAAAAAAACATTATTAAAATTATGTTAATTTATGGCATAACATAATCTTGTCATACTAAACTCTAATACGTAGTAGTAATTGGTAAATAAGTCAATTTATGGAATTTTTGGGATTTTAGGTATCTTGTAAATGTGATTTTCTAACATAAAGAACGTGAAGACTTTGAATACACCAAAGTATTTGAAGCAAGTAATCATATCGGTAAATAATTATTTTAAACACACTTAGAGTTAACGTGGTATGTCTAAAATGAATAATTTAGTTTTCTGTGATAGATTAAATTTTTTCAGTATTTTATGTTTTACAAAGAAGCTGTGGATTAAATTTTTTTAAACATAATTAAGAAATATATAAATAAAAATGCTAAAGTGAGTGAGTTAACCTGCCCTTAAAGGATATAGCTAAAATCATTTGTATAATTGCACAAATCTTATCATGTAGTTCTACTAGGAAATTTTCTTTCAAAATATGTAAAAAACATGCATGATGATGAAGCATTATTAAGTTAATCTTTCACTGCCATGGGCACGTATATATATCCCCCCCTAGAGCACCACCAATTGAACTTGGAACTTTTTTACCACCATGACAAAAAGAGTATTCCCTTTCAAACTTCCCAGAGTTTACCAGTTTACCAAATAATGACTTAAATAGTTAAAACTGCATGCATCTTTTTGATTTTTATTGAATATCTAAAAATAGACCTGGCAGAGAGAGAGCTGTCCTATATAAACTTGGTAGTGAAAGAGTTAATTAGACCCAGTTTTTGTCTTGCAATGCCAGCAGAAAGAACTAGTTGCAATCATGTTGATATTTGTTATTTTATGTTTAAAAACTTTAATCATGATCTATAAAAATAGAACAAACAATAATGATTTTGTCAAAACTTATGTATTGGAGATGTATTTTGTACTCCTGCACGTATGGTTAATGTAATCAAGATATTATAATTAGGCTCTGATGATTCAATATTAAAGACATTCAAAATATTATAATTTGGCTAGAATAAATCATTATTAATGACATACAAGGTGCTAAGCAAAATTAGTAAAAATTACCACGGCAGACAAGCATATCAAATCTGATTTTTTTCATCTATGATCTTTTAGGAAGATAATTAATATCCACACCACCCAATAACAAAAGCTGTGAATGTAGTTTTAACTAGTGTAGTAACTGAGTTGTTAGTACTAATTAAATGAATATTCAATATTTGAACTTACAGAAAATAATTTTTCATGACTTTTATTATGTATATATTTTTTTCCCTTCGCTACTTTTGGTGACATAAGTTTTGTCTCATTTAACTGACTTGCACAAGTTAGAAATTAACAAGCTGCTTATTAATGTTCCACAAAGAATTGTATTCAATTTTACAATTACCTGCTATAAAACAGAAAACAAACTATAACATTATTTGTGTACTAAATCCCAGGAGCTCTTGAGCTAAAGACATTATTCTAATGCACAATATTGTCTTTTTTGTTTTCATTTGTATTACCTGCTGGTGGTGCAGTACTTTGTCCTCACAAAGGAAGGTTTCTTGATGACTGATGAATCAATCTGTTTGGATTCGCCAGAAGCAACAGCAGATACAAATGTTGTGATGCTGGCCTGCAATGAATATAAACGACAAAAATGGAAGTACAACCCAACAGTAAGTATACAGTATCTTTTGTCCCCCACTGGCACAGCGGTATATCTGCAGACTTATATTGCTAGAAACCGGGTTTCGATACTCGTGGTGGGCAGAGCACAGACAGCCCTTTGTGTAGCTTTGTGCTTAATAGTAAAACAACAACAGTATCTTTTATGTGAATATAACTTATTCTACTCATTTGTGTAATGTATGAACCTGAAACTCCATCCTGTGTTTAGTATCCAACAATCAATTAATGACTGTTATCAACTAACTTTTATAGATGTTAACTTTAATCTACTAAAGCCAGCTTTAGTTTAATGACAAAAGAGGTTCATGGAATTATAACCATTTCTCATGATACAATCTTTATAACATTTGTTGTAATACAATATACCTCAGCTGAGTTACTAGTGTATTAGTTTTTGTTTTAGTGTATAATTGTTGAAAGTTTTCCTTATGACAACTTGTCTAGGTTTTTTTATATTTTCTTATAATAATGTTGCTTAAGAGAAGTACATTTTTTATGCTGCAAAGGAGATGCAAATTTTACAATGTTAACACTTGCATATTTTCTGTGAGTTTTAGTTTACTGTCAAAATTTTTCTCCTGGAAATATAATTGTTTCTCATGATATAATCTTCACAATATAATGCTATTATTCAGTACTGTAATATGTTTTTTAAGTAGATTTTGACAAACATTCTATACATGTACTTGTCTGAATTTTGTATAATCTTTCCTACACTAATGGTCTTCTTTGATGTATTAATCGTATAGCATCATTAATGAGGGAATATGTTTTTTATTTTTTTCTCAGATAAGTTTCTTTTTTCTTTCAGGATAGAACTTTGGTGCATGTTAAATCAAAACTTTGTTTGGACCTTCCAAGTTCTCACAGTCCAGATGGACTAACCTTACAACACTGTAACAAGTTAGCAACACAAGAGTGGCTCTTTGAAACAGTCACGTGGAAGACTTCCTAATGAGTAAAAGTTGTTTGGTTCTGAATCTTGTACAGATATACAGTAATGGAAATAATTATGGACACACACAAGTGATACATGTAGAGGAATCATACAACAATGTGGTAGCATGTGGTGAAATTATTAATGGACATGCACACAAGTGATACACATATAGGAGTCATACAATAATGTGGCAACATGTGGTGAACTTATTAATAGATACACACAAGTGATACACATACAGGAGTCATACACTAATTTGGCAACAGGTGTTGAATGTATTAATGGACACACACAAGTGATACACATACAGAAGTCATACAACAATGTGGCAACACCTGGTGAACTTGTTAATAGATACACACAAGTGATACACATACAGGAGTCATACAACAATGTGGCAACACCTGGTGAACTTGTTAATAGATACACACAAGTGATACACATACAGGAGTCATACAATTAATGTCTTATTAATGGACACACACAAGTGATACACATACAGAAGTCATACAACAATGTGGCAACATGTAGTGAACTTATTAGTGGTGTGAAACACTATCACAAAAAATAGAAAAGAAAACAAACAAATTGAATGCACTAATATTTTGTATGTTTACTGTATACAGAGCATTAAACCTTGTTTCCATGCTGAAATACGTTTTTTTGATTAACTTTTGACTTTTTTAGTTTTTACATAACCCTTCACAGCTTCAAGAATGTTCATATTGGAACTTTATGTAGACTAAGTCAATGTTAAGAGTGCTTCTTCAGCCTCTTTACCATAAAAATATCATTATACCATATTTTCTGTATTCTTGGGATCATTGTCTGGCTGGAAGATGAGTCTCCACCCAAAGATTTATGTTTCTGAGGGAATGGCAATCATTATGCTATTAATTTTTGGTAGATCATTGACACTGTTGGCTGAAATGCAGTCCTAAACTTGTTAATTTCAATATTTGTGGTCTGATGCCCATTAAAATGTTTTTGGGCTGGTTGCCTATTCTCAGCAGTGATTTTAGAGCAAATACACATCCTTTGAAACCACTTCATGTTAATGTGTTTCTGACTGTTCTTGAGGTAACATTCACATATGTATTACTAATTATAACAAGATCTATACTAGAGTACTGTCTATTCCATAAAGAACACGCCTTGAGATATTTAACATTACTTCAGGAGAGTTACAGTTTCCTACCTCATCCACTTCCATTATTAGGAATGCCAGTTTCATGTACCCTTTTCTGTGTTTTATGTAGAGCTCCTACTGAAATATGAAGTCTAGCTGTAGTTTTTTGCACTAAGTGTCTTTGACTAGCCAAATAGTTTTTCCACATGCTTTTCCCTTGGTATTTCAGTCCTGGGAACCATGTTTGGATTCATGCTCCCATCTATAGCATCTGACTAAGATATGATAAAACATGGTTGTAATTTGGGAGTTAGGTATCCTGGGATGTTTGGAAATGTAACAGTTCCTCTTCTGCCTACTCACAGTATAGATAGGTAAACATGAGAGAAAAATATATTACCAAATCTAACCGAGCCAAGGAGACAAACCTGAGAACCTATAAATTTTTAGAGTAGACAAATACCTAGCTTTAAACAATTTCAAATGTTGACAGTCAAAAGAAACTCATTATCTTGAGGGGAAAAAAATCAATTTAAAGATCGACTTAATGTTATACTGTGGTTGGTGGTTGCATCAGCATATGCATTCTATTGAGTGAGCTCCTATGGTATTGGATTCTTATTCTGATGATTGTTTGAATACATCTGTTTGTGTTTCTTTGCACTTGAATTTGTTGAATGTCTGGATTTGATGACTGAAAGTAGTAATGTTTTTCTTGCACTTGGATCTTGTAGTTGTCTGAGTTTTGCAGCTGTTAGTGGCAGAGTTTTCAGTAGATGTGGATACATATTTTTTTTCCTGGGTTGTTGTTTGAATTTGTAGATCTCTAGTTGATGCTTGGTTTGGATGAGTATTGGCTTTGAGTGTTGATTTGGTTTGGATGATTATTGACTTTGGGTGTTGATTTGAAATGGTCGATTTGGTTTGATGAGTATTGGCTTTTGGTGTTGATTTGAAATGGTCGATTTGGTTTGATGAGTATTGGCTTTTGGTGTTGATTTGAAATGGTCGATTTAGTTTGATGAGTATTGGCTTTTGGTTTTGATTTGAAATGGTCTATTTGGTTTGGTAGGAAATGGAAGTTGAGTTTCTTGATGTATATATTCTTTCTCTGAAATGATTTTTTTTCCACCTTGAAAACAACCATTTCAAAGTATCTGGTTAGTAGCATTGTGGGAGTTGATGATATTTCCAGTAGTTTGAGACATAATCCTTGGAACCACATGAATATTGGTTGCTAGGTTTTCTTCCAAAATTTGTTTGATCTCTTGAGTGGTGACAGTGAGATTCACCTTCCTTAAGAAAATACAAAACCTTCTGGTGTTACTTATTAGTGGATGGCATTGTATGGGTGGGTCAGAGTTTCGTGGGGAACATAAGTTGGAGAAGGCTATTGACATTTGCGACTGAATGCATTTTATGACTACCTGTACTTTAAAAATTATCAATATATGGCTGTACTCTTGTGCAGTTCATTTTTACATGATAAAGGAGTGGCATTACCATAGTATTTGCTTCTTATCCGCTTTTCTTCACAGTTTCAATACTTACTTCCAATACTGTACATGTGAATCAGGGATTAAATTTTCCATTTGATTGTATGAGAATTTGGTGTATGATCTATAGAATGCTATAACATTACATTAGTTTTTATGCTTATTTTACCTTTGGTGAAGATTAGCAGGAATTTGATGAGTGGCATACAAACAAACTAAAATTATAGAACCTCACCCTCCTTTATTATAATTCAGTGAATAATAATTATTACTGTAGTTGGTTTGTATGTAATTTTAGTTTTATTGGTTAGTTAATCTTCTGATAGTGTTTTGCTTTTATTTTTATGTCAACATGTACAAAAAAAAAATATTTCCTGACACCTCCATTAAAATTTATCTGTCTTAAAATATCTTCACATGAGTCTTTAATGACATTTTCAGTCTTTCATATGAACTTGTCAATTCCTAGAAGGTAGGCATATATAAATGTCTGATCTCTAAATGCTGGTGTAATACACTAATTGTATTTTGTCATTTGGGCAGTTTTTGAATATAAAAATGTAAAAATCATCTCATTTTTTTAAAACAGTTAGTCTTCCATTTTAATAGTTCATCTTTAAACTGGTAAGTATTTGAATGATGAATTAAAATGTCTGTGGGAAAAATTCAAAATACGATGGAAAATGTTATATAAGTTACAAAGTAATTTATGCCAGAAATTCATCTGTGCTAGGAAAATATTTTTCCTATATGCCATGATTTTTGTTTCATGAAAATTGGGTAAACCACACAAAAATATTAAGAGGCAGTTCTTTGAAGTGAATTTTTCACAAGAACAGAAAAATATAATTTTAGTATGTGTGTGTGTGTGTGTTCTTAGAAAATTCACTTGAATATTTTTGGAAACTACTGTATGATAATTTTAATCAGTATGAAAGAAAGAATACAAACTCATATTTTAACATTATTCTTGTCAAATATGTTCAACTGTGTCATAAATTGGGATAAAAATATTATCTTCCTTGTTATAACTAATGATATGTTTTCATTTTTTGAAAATATAAGAGAAAATCAGTTTCTACCAATGTTCTTAGACAATGTCTGTATTTGTACATAACACTTTTAAAATTTATTACTGACATTTTAGGTAAGCTGTAAATACTTACACAAAACAAAATTTGACCAGTAAATACACCCATTAATGTCTATTGTATTGAAGACTTACTCAAGTCATCACTTCTAGCTCTAAACTAAAGTAGCTAATTAGTCATGTGACTAAGTGAAGGTTAAACAATTTATATCTTTAAGATTAACAAATTATAAACTCTGTAGCATATGTACTTATCAGTTAAGTAAATAAAACAATAGAATGTTTTAACTGATTGTGTTATTGAAATTTAAAGAAGTAATAATTTATAGTGAACCAAACTTTTTAATCTAGATTTAAATCATCATCTTTTATTAATTAAAGCTCACATTTTAGCTTTAACTTCAGGTATTTATGAAATATGGTGAAATTGATCTGGTAAAATGCAAATATGGTATCTGATATGTTTATTCAAGGTAACTGGTTTTGATATTCAAATTTTAAATATTTCTTATCACTATTGTTTTCTTTTAAATAATAACATAGTAATTTAAGAATTACAAGATGCAATGTAATTTAAGGAAAACCAAGGCAGTTTACCTAGTATATTCTAAAGAAACAAAAAACCAAACACCTTAGTAAGAACCCAAAAGAAGTTTTACCTTACATTTTATTAAGAGTGGACTAGCAATTTTTGGTCACCAGTAAGTCATTTAGTGACTGGCTTGCATCCTTATTGAGGTCAACCTGGGTCACACTGGAATGAATGAGAGTGGGGGAATTTTGTTGACAATATTTATATTAATTTGTAGTCTTACAATTTAGACTATTGAATTGTATCAATAGCGACAAGCCTGCTGGGACTTTCTGATGACCTGTATGGTAGCCCACTTCTTCATATAATTGTATTTCACTTAATTGTAAGAGGATGTAGAGTTTGTTTTTATTCAGAAGTATTAATCTGTGATAACTAGGTTCAAGGAAGTGGAACTGTGGTTACTGATTTATTAATAATACTTTTTAACTGAAGATATATGAAATGTTTAAATTTTTTTAATTCACAGTTTATTTTACTACTCACTATTTTATATTGGGGGTGCTTGATATTGAATATTGTGTACACTGAATAAAACTTTGTATTGAAGTGAATGAAATTTTTTTGTCACTATAGAATATTCACAGAAGAGTATACATCTATTTTTATTACAGAGACTTCTCAAACATAAATGTGTAAAAACTTTTAAAACATTTAAAAGATGACATAATAGTAAAGGACAATACAAAAACTATAACATTTCAATGGTATTCATCTGACATAAAAAGGAAGTAGAATGACAAAATACACAGAATATATATATACAACCCATAAGAAGATTATGATGACAGGTTTCTACTTGATTGTTACATGGGGGGAGTCTTAAACTTTATTATTTCCTTTACATTAGTTAAATGAGTGTTATAACATGCCACTTTATTGACGTCACTAAATAGCGACTACACTGAAGTTAGAATTTTGAAGGAGCTAGATGCAAGTTGAAGCTAAAGAACATAAAACTGCAAAAATTTACATATTGAAATTAGGAATCGAAGGGAAAAACTGGTGAACAATAAAAAATGCAAGCCAGGGATTGTCACTATTCTGTATGGAAAGAAAATAAGTTCATACAATTAGACACATACTTACATTTTCTTAAAACATGCAAATACAAAAGACTTCTATCAAAGGATGTGTAACTACATCTGCTTCACCTATACACATACCTTTATAAAATGCAAGATAGATTATTAAGAAGTTGGTTGGTTAAAAAGATTTCCTCATTCACTATATCAAAAAGAATCTTCCACAATTAAAGGACAACTTAAATTTGATAAAATGTACAAGGCTAACATAGGAAGAAAAAAAATCTTGTATTAAACGAATTATGAATGCAATATAATTTTTAAAAACTAACAAAGGAAATTCTATTATAATTATGAATAAATTTATTGCTGTAACAAGATGGAAATTTTACTCTGAAATATTCTGAATCATTAACTATAAAAACCTTTTTTTTTTAGATTATATGAAATTTAATACATTTTTAATATTCTCAGTCATGCTTTGACCCCTACAAACATAATATTGGTTTGTAAGATGTAACAGTTGTTGCCAAGCAATTTGCTAATATATATATATATATATAGTATTTCAATTATTCGTATTTCTGTAATATCTCAGCTGGCCTGGAGATGCCAGTAATGTCTGAAAGGCCAATTTGGGCATTGGATATAACAAGTTCATTTATTTTGATGAAAGAGTTAGCACAAAGGATCACATATAAAGTGTAATAGACTTAAAATGAGACCCAAAACTC